ACAAAAGCGCTTTGTGCCGGTCAAGGTCGTGAAAATTTAATTTGGCATGAGATGTTTCGCAGATAATGAGCAAATTGTTTTTAGAACTGTTACATAGGTTTGCACGTCGCTACGTAAGTGTACATACAATACATAATCTAAAGGTTATTTAAAAGTCTACCGATTTACACGGTTTCTTCTTCTTTTTTCTTCTTGTTAACAACACATATTTTTTCCCAAAGTAACTTTTACTTTGCGTGCGAAAACATGCCTAAATCTTAAAATTTTTTTTTTCCTGATATATGTTGAGAAACTTCCTCAATTCTTATTTATTGATTAATTTCGCTTCTGGTGGAGAAACAACGATTTTGCGTATCGATCTATTTAATTGTGTTACGAAGAAATTAGTATACGGTAGTAATTAAGGAAAAATTTTTCAGATATAGATGCTGTAAGTCATAAAAAGGCTATTTCAAAATGAGAAGTAAAACGTTTTGTTTATCCAATAAATAACGTTTTCTTATATTCTCGTTTTATTTATATTCTTTTTGTCCGAAAATATGATATGCTTTTTGTTACTCATAAACATGCAATGGAATTGTACAAAAATTATTTCACATTTTCGATAATATATAATAGGAAATTTCCTATATCCTAATTTATGTTTTATTTGTCCGCAAAAATGGTTTACATATTAATTTTTTACAATTTTTGTCTCCAAGTGCATCTCAGTGTGTTTAGTTTTTACAATTTTCGATTCCTTTATTTAGGTAATTTATCATTTCCCATGGCTCTAAAAGTTAAACTTTTAGTAATTTATTATCGTAGCGATAATAATTGACCTTTTTCCATTTTTATTGTCATTATTTGTCGTCAGTAATGAACAAATTCCGTATGAGTAGCCGATTAGGTAAGCATCGCGATTATCAAATCTGTGCTCGCGGGTTCAAATTTCAATGCATTAAAGTTTACTTACGATCGCAACTATAATGAGTGCTTGGTCGGCATAAGCGTAGCACTTACTGATTGGGCATACACCCAACAGACTTGCGGCTGCTTCCTTCTATCTCTTTCTTCACTTCTTTCCGACTGTCGTTGTGTTACACGAATAGGGGAACATTCTCTGAGGAATTTGTCTTATAAAAAAAAAAAAGGAAAAAAGTATTCGCTATTAACTCTCAATGACGTAAAATTACAGCAAACCGTCTTTATGTCTGACGTATTTTATTACTTTGTATGGCTTCGAAATGTGTTCGAATGTTACACTACCGGTGACCCAAAATAATTGTCAATTCTTTTCTCCTACAGTCTATCATTATTTTCGACTTGGAAGGCTGTTTCAGCTTTGTGAACTACACTAAGAAAGTTTATGCCAAATATTTTTAGGTTGCAAACAAAAAAATTTATTATCCCACCTGTGTTAGCATAGGAGAACTAATACCGAATTTAATATTAAGTGCATATATAAACATAAGATCTTGATCAATGATGGAATACTGATTTACACATTTCAGTACCATATTTTTAAAGGGTAACACGACCTTAGGCAAGAGCCTAAGCAAAAATGGGCTTTCCATAATTTTCTTTTCTTTTTTTTTTTTTGATGAAAGGGAAGATAGCGGAATAAGATCTAACATGACCTGATAGCATATGAGTTAATTTTTATAAGCGATAACTGAGCAGCTCTAACAAAATAAGAATTTTAAAGCAAACAACTGCTATTTATAGGGAGCACCACAAAAATATGAGGTTTTCAGTGTGTCTATGATTCTCTGAAGACTTACATAGTTCCGTTCCCAAAAAGTGGAAAAACATTGACAAATGGCAACAAGAGAGATCCTTTCGCGAAGCGCTTTCATTTTAATAGGTTCATATGTTAATTACAAAAAAAAAAAAAAAAAAAAAAAAAAAAAAAAAAAAAAAAAAAAAAAACATTTAATCCATATTCTTATATCCAAAGAATCAGGTAGATATGTTTATAAATATTGCTTTTCGTATGATTAGCAAGTGTTTGAATGAAGAAGTTCAACTTTCATCCTATCAATCATCCTACGTGATTCCTTAGAGAATATCGTTTTAAAGATACTGTAAAAAAACTCGAATGAAAAAAGTGAAAATCGTTTGTATTATGCTGCGTAACGTTCTCTTTCGACCACTTAGCGGCATTTTAAATTTCGACATATACTATATACTACGGACATTCTTCTTTATTACAAACATTCGTTTTTCATTCAGTCATGCAGTCTCAGTATTCACGTTCGAATACTCTTCATTTTCTTTTCTCAATGATCTTTTACTCGAAAGTTCTTCTTTTACTGCACCTGTCAACGCAGAGTCGTTTCCGAAATATGAAAAATGGAAAATATAGCAAAAAAATTATAACTGATTATAAGTATTTATATAAATGAATTCATAACACCTTTCAAAGACCAACAAAGAACACATTAGGCCGCAACTTCCCGGCACTTGGCGCTTGGAAAAGAGCTCGAATCTTTTCCCCTACATATCCCAGAATATTCAACGTTGTAACTATTAACAAAATATATATAGTAACGTTACCCCTTGATTATTGTTTGTGGTGACGTTGAGCAAGAAGCCTTTTTTGCTCTCATGTAAAAAATTGCACACCGTGTCACAATTTGTGGTATATTGTCGCAAAGGAAGGCGGCTTGGTTTATAGCGATAGTTTACCGCAGCTAATAATAGCTTAGTCGTAAAATAATTTACAGTAAGTGCATGTACTTTGCAAAGCACTTAATATGTTTTGCAATTGAATCGAGTTAGACGTTTCCTACTCGCATAGGTCCCAAGGATATCAAAATTTATTTTGACATGAATTCGCATTTGCGGTGCCTTGAAGTTCTAGAGCTTGCTCCCGTTACGTATTGCCAAGTCATATTCAACACTTCTCTTGCAAGTCCATAGGGCAGGGCGCGGAGACTTGGCGGCTGATGGGGCACCTTTAGATGAATATCATCTAGTAGTAATATTGAAAGACTCAAACGTAATTTCACTCAAAAGCAATTTTCCAGTAAACTGATAATCGGCACCTATCGAATTCGATAGGCTATAAGAAGACAGCCCCCCCTTGCCTCATTAATGAGGCAGTTCTCTATTCACACGTAAGCTAACATTTCTTTTCGGAAATTTGGTTTTAAAGTGATGCCGAGATATGTCCAATCGGCCAAAAAATCGACAAAATTAAAATCATCCAAACACAATGGGCCTAATAATGCTTACTAGAGATACACAGTTCAAATCGCAATCGAGGCAACCAACCGTGATGAAAAGTGAAGAAAGCAGCGATAGACTAAACGAGAAAACCACACTTCAAATCTCTAATTTGCCATGCCCCTACACCATGCATTTGAGCTATTGGCGTTAAGCACTTGCATAGGCAGGACAGGGTTTACTTTTAAAATTTTTGCTCATTTCCGATTGCTACCGTGCGATAAGTTCAGTTATTTAGTGCACTTCAAATGCTTGTAGTACACTACCGGCCCCACGACTGCGTGCAGCAAACTGACTTTTTGGCCAATTTACAATTACGCCCAACTTTTTATATCACATTTGATTGTTGTAAGTGCATTTTAAAACAAGAAACAAATCGCAAAGCGGTATTAGCTTTTAAATATGTTTCGCTTTCGCACCTTTATTAGTGGCCCCTTTAAATAAAACATTTTGTGTTGATTCTTTTTTTTTTTTGCTTTTTGTTTTTGTTGTTATTTTCCTTTTTTAATCGCAATTGCTGCATACACTTTCAAGTGCAGTTATACGTTTACCGCAAATATGTGGTTTTTAAAGAGAATCTTGCGTATTCACCGCAAACGTTTGCTGCTTCTCATGCGCTTTCACAAGTTCGAGCCACAATTTATAACCGATTTCGTTAACGTGTGAACCGTATTACACGAAAAAATTTGAAATGAAGACAGATTTCTAACATAATTTTCAATATTTATTTTCGTTCATTCCTCTATGTACACATTTTATTTATTTTTTTATATTTTTTTTATTTATTTATTTATTTATTTTTTTTTTTTTTTTTTATAGCTTGTGCTCTCTTATTTGGAATCCATAATATTGGCGCGTAAAACGTTTTAGAGTTGAATAAATAATTTCAAGTTTAGCGCTCTATTGCTCTTGATTAATTTCACGGTTAGCTGCGCTGTGTTTCTTTTAAAATTCTAACATGTTTATGTTTATCGAAGTTTGCATGCATATGTTTTTAGTAAGCAGCACCGAAAGATGAGGAGTATATTTATTTTGGCAAAACATTTGCAACATCCAGACGGAACTTTCACAGACCCACAAAGTGTATGTAGGACTTTTGATTAGCATCAAATTTTGAATCGCTTTAAGCATGTCTGTCCATCCGTTCAACTGAAAGAGATCCAAACTGGTCAGGTGAAAAAGGCGAGAATACCTTTACTTTCTGTGCATATATTCCGCATATACGTGTGTGCAAAAGGATTTCAAATATTTTCGAACCAAAGTCAACGGACACGCCTAAAATGCAGCAAAAACTCGGAATATTTTCGCTTTTCGTGTTTTTGCGGTCGTTACTCGCATTTTTAATTGTACATTGAGTCTTTTAAGCTTTTTTTTTTTTGGATAACGACGATGGGTATAAAAAATTCGATCATAATCGAATACAATTTTCCCATATATGTATATATATATAGATGGATTTTGCGTATTGAAAAGAATTTTATTTAAAAGATATAAATAACTAAGAAAAAAGGGAAAAATTGATTGACAACATTTTGTTATTTTCACCGTACAGGTGGACAGTTATGGAAGGAAGTCAAACAAGAGGTTGACTACTTGTTGAAGCCTCAAGTTTTGGCTGATGCCGAACGCCACGTTAGAATTGCTAACTTAACACGTATTGTGCTTATCGACAACTTGCAAAACGTAATTGAAGTGGAAAATCCGCCAGCCGAACAAATTGCACAATTACAAAATAGAAAGGGTAAGTAAAGCAATAAAAGAGGAGAAGGAGGAGGGAGGGA